TGTGTCTGTTTTCCCAAGGTTAAATCAAGCAAAAAGCCTTCCTTCATGAAATGACGGTGCTGTATTACATGGTAGGCATAGGACATCATTTTATCTCCTTTGATTCCCACCACTGTCGGTTCTCAGCTGAAAAGGAGCTCGCCTATCTCCTCGGAGGTCTTGGTAACATAGTGGTTGATCTCTGGGCGGCAAAGTGAACGAACGATCTGTGGTTCAAGCCCACCAGCCACTCCATGGAAGAAAGAGGTGCTGTCTGCTCCTGTAACTAGCTCAGCCTTAGAAAGCCCACAAGATAGTTCTGCTCTGTCCTACAGGTCAAGGCCAGCCTGACCCCCTGGCAGTGGGTTTGGTGTTTTTGTTTGGTCTTCCTGGTCACCATTTCATCCTTCTGAGCTCCTGGGTGTCCAGCATCATTGTGTAACACAAGAGGGGAAAGAACGGTGAGTCCTGAATTTTGACTTAGCTAGTCTGCGGGATTCCATCATTTTGTTTCTCTTTAAGCATCTCTAGTTCACCTGTCAGGAGCCCAGATGACGTAGTGGGTTATGTGTTGGACTATTAAACTCAAGTTCAGGAGTTTAAACCCACCAGCATCTCCATGGGAAAAAGAAGTTCTCTGCTCCCCTAAAGATAGCCAGCCGCTGAAACCCACAGGGGCAGTTCCACTCTGTCCTCTCGTGGGTCACCACGGAGTCCCAACTCACACCACGGCAGCGAGCTGAGTTTGGTTTCCGATCATGTATGACTGTGAACATACGGGAAATGCAAAGAAAACGAGGGAGCATTAACATTTTATCAACTTAAGAGTACACTCCCACAGAGGGTAGGGAACAAAACTCTACCACCTGAGTATTAAATATCTGTGCAAAGCCACCTGAGGCACAATGGCGGAGTCTGGAACGTGACATTTGGTCAGTCACCCTTCTCCGACTGTAGCCACTGCCATACCTGCCCAGGCCCATGACCTTGACAAGTCTCTCCTCAACCTTGGAGACTCACCTAGATGTCCTTGCCTTGGGGCCTCATTTATGGTCTCCTCATTGCAGAAGTGTGTGTGCCAGGCTCAACTCCAGCCACCACACCCTGGCTTCCAATACCAGCTGACAAACACCTGCTACGACTTCAAACCCAGACAAGCTCACGGCCATTGAATCGATTCCAACTCACCAGCAACCCTACAGGACAGGGTAGAGCTGCCCCTGTAGTTTTCTGAGGCAGTAAATCTTTATGGGAGTAGAAAGTCTCATCTTTTCCCTCAGAGGCTGGTGGTTTCAAACCGCTGACCTTGTGATTAGCAGCCCCAAATGTAACCAATACACTACCAGGGCTCCTATCTGCAATTTGTGGTCATCAAGTTCATTCTCTCTGGGTGGCTGGCTTGTGTTTTAATGCCTCCAGTGCAAGAGCAATGCACGAAAATGCAGCCGCAAACTCAAAAACCAAACACAGAGCCATCAAGTGAAAGGTTCCGCTAAATGAGATCTTTGTCCTCGGCTGGTCTCCAGGCTA